CGAATCAAAAACATTCGACAGTAGTCTCGGGGACTACACCCAGTGGGTGCACTCAGCATGCCCCCACTGTAAAAAAAAGAGAGAAAAAGAGTCAACTGCCTGCAGTCGACCGGATACAGTTCCATTCGACATGGCCCAACCAGACCGAGTGAAGAAATACAGCTACAGCAACACAATATAAAGACTACAGTCGACTGCCAGCAGTCCACCATAGTCTTGGGGACTACACCCAGTGGGTGCACTTAGCATGCCCCCACTCGTCCAAGAATTGACAGACACACCCACTGGGTGTACAGATGCAAAGATCTTCGGAAAAGAGATTCTTCAAACAGCATATCGTAATAGACCAAGTGTTGAGTCGACTAACCTGGACGTTACTCTGAAGAGCCGAACTTGCGTCATAAGCTGCTTGGCTGGCCTCCCGAGCCGCCTTCACTTGCTCCATCATGATCCCCGCCTGGCGTATAGCCTCTTTTGCAGCAGCCGCTTGGTCCTCAGGGACGGGGTACGCGGCAAAAAGCGAAGGCGGATCCGCAGTCGACGTCGAGGGCCGCACACTCGTCAGAGGAATGGCGAAAGTCACAGAAGCCCGAGTAGTGTCACCACCATCCCGAGCTACAACCTCAGACGCCGGAGCAGATTGGGGGGTCTTGTCAGCCGACGCCCTCCTGTTCCTCCTCACTCTCAGTGGTTCGTTGTCGTCGTCATCCGGGAGGTCGATAACATGAGGAGGAGCTACAAGAAAAACATTCAATCGACCAGAGTTGCAATAAATGTTCAGTCGACCCAAAGCGGAACGTTAATAATCGTACCAGGGTTGGAGGTAACGGCATCCTCCATCTCTTGGTCTTCGTCCTTGGCAGAGGTCTCAGAAGTAGCAGCGCTGCAAATTTCGAGAGTCAGTCAGTTGGCTCAATGAATCGACCAAGGATCTGTCCGTGATCAACTAAGGAAAACAAGTTTTATTATTACCCAGAAATGGTGGGGACGGCCATCTTCATCTTGGGCAGAGCCTTGGGCGGCTTGGACGGCGTTGCGCGTGGGTGCTTGGGAGCCTTTCCAGTTGGCGTAGGAGAAGAGGTCCGAGGGCGTTTCGACGACTGCCCAACAGGAGCAGTCGCCTTACCACGCTCCTGCGCTGGATCGTGTGTGAGCTTGGATCGCCCCTCCGGGCGGGGGGGTTCAACCTCCTCCTCCTCCTCTTCGCTGGAGTCGACATCATCGCCTCCCTCTCCTTCACCGTCGGACTCCCACTCGCCTTGATCGTCTCTGCTCTCACCTCCGCTCGCCTCCCCTTCCTCAGTCGGCTCCTGTGCCCCGTTGGGCGTCGAGTACATCTCGGTGGTCGCCTAAAAACAACAGACAAGACAAAGGTAAATCGACCAACCCAAAGAAGACCAATGAAGAAGACAAGATCTCAGTCGGGAGCACAAAGACGGACCTGGTCCACGTCGTACGAGCTGTCGAGTGGAATTACCCTCCTGGCTCCTCGGGGGTTGTCCTTGTTTCCTGTGATGCTCGACAGCCACCCCTCCAGCATCTCATCAGTGACCTCCTCCGGGTGGATCCGAGTGGTGTCATCGAGACCCGAGTACAGCCACATCGGGTGGTCATGAGCCTGGAGCGGTTGGATGCGCCTCCAGAGGAAGACCTCCAGCAAATCCATACCAGTCACGCCCTCACGGACAAGCTCAACCACTCGACCAGCCAGTACTTTGACTTGGGCCTTTTCCTCTAGCGTCACTTTCAGAGAAGCAGGTTTTTCAGCTCGATCGAGTGAGAAAGGGGGAAGTCCGGTCGACTGCCCTGGGGTCGCCTGGTCTTGACAATAAAACCAGGTCGCCTGCCAACCGCGGACCGACTCCGGGAAAATGATAGATGGAAAACAACTCTTTCCCCTCGTCTGGATCACCAGGCCCCCGCATAGCTGAATCACCTGCGTCCTTTCGTCACTCGACTTGGCCTTCTTGATCGATTGAGAACGGCAGGTAAAGATGTGCTTGAAGAGTCCCCAATGGGGGCGGCAACCCAAGAAACCCTCACACATGGAAATGAAAGCAGCAAGGTATACGATGGAGTTGGGAGTGAAGTGGTGAAGCTGCGCTCCGAAGAAGTTCAGGAAGCTCCGGAAAAAGGATGGGGCGGCAGAGAAAACCCGCGGTCGACATGGGTGGCTAGGAGCACGCACTCACCGTCGCGAGGTTGAGGTTCGATCTCTCTCCCCGGGAGACACGCAGCTTCATGGGGAATGACTCCCCCCTTGATCATGTCATCGAGATCTTCTTGCCGGATCACCGACGGCATCCAATCACCTTGGATCCAGCCTCGGGGCAGAGCGGACCTTGAGGAGGATCCGCCCCGAGCGGACCTCTTCCCTTTCCCCTGCGCCGCCGCCTTCTTCGCGCGCTCCAGGGCGGATGTCTTGTCCTTCGCCATCGTCGCCGGCAAATCTTGCACGGACCTGCGGCGCTAGGGTGAGAGCGGAGGTGGCGGAGGAACTCGCGAAGGGAGAGAGGAAGAAGGAAGCGCGCTGTTTGGAAACCCTGAGCCGGCAACTTATAAGGGGCCGCTTCCGAGTGGCTGACTGGTAGGCCCAGGCTATCCAGTTAAATCCCGCAGCAGACGCGCGCGCAGTACATGGCGAAAAAGGCGACGCGAGGATCAAGGATCTTCCACTTTATCGCTTCCGATTACCGCGGCCGCTCCCGTCCCGCGCGCTTCCCGAAATCCGAATCCCGCGACACCTGCGGGCCGCAGAACAACTTGTTAAAACAGAAGACCCCGCTCGCGCCGACACTCGGTATGTCACAAGTAAAGAAATTCACTCGATGAAAGGCCTGGAATGGATCAAGGCGACTGAAAGAGGTTGATGACGTCATCCGTGACGGTTGGCCCAAAACGAGGCGCTCATGTAGCCCAAAGGACCAGTCGGAAAGATATCCAACTCTTTCCCCACTCTAACCTCGATCCATTCGGGGGCTAATAATGAAGCCATGTACCTAGGGTAGGGGCACGGGCCTGTCCAAAGAGCCCTACCCTAGGACATCCCTAGAAGAAGTCACCTTTCAATCGACTTGAAGGTATCCCACTCGACGGGTTCAAGACACTCGACCAAGAAGCTATCACTCGACCATGAAGCCAACCACTCGACTGCCAAGAGACCTATAGTCGCTCCGCAGGCAAACAATCAGCTGTTAAGTAGTCTTTATGGTCATTATAGCACTTTATTAGGGACGTTACCAGTAACGCCCGACCTTAAATGTACCTTAAACCCTGCATTACTGAGGGCAGGAGGGTGCCGGCGAACTCTATATAAGCCACCCCCCTCCTCAGTATGAAGGGTTCGCACCCCTGTTATTCATACACCCGTAATCCAATCGACCGCCTCCGGGCACCGAGACGTAGGGCTGTTACTTCCTCCGAGAAGGGCCTTAACTCGTAATCCTCGTGTGTTTACAACTTCCCAATAGCTGAGATCTAGCCACTCCATACACACCCCCTACATCACTGTCAGACTTAGAACCACGGCAGCTCCCCCTCTCTTTCATTCTCCCTCTCCTACTCCTTCCCTCTCTACCCTCTTGGAAAAGGAACGGGACTCCAACTAGGATTGGGAATCCTAGTTGGACTCCTTCTATAGGCGCGCCCCTCCTAGGCCGGCCTCCTCCTCCTCCCTCCTTTATATATGTGGGCAAAGGGCATCCCAAAGGCACAAGAGATTTATCTTAGCTGTGTGCGGTGCCCCCCTTCACAGTTACATACCTCGATCATATCGTCGTAGTGCTTAGGCGAAGCCCTGCGCCGCTTACTTCATCATCACCGTCGCCACGCCCTCGTGCTGACGGAACTCTCCTTCGGCCTCAACTGGATCAAGAGCCCGAGGGACGTTATCGAGCTGAACGTGTGCTGAACGTGGAGGTGCCGTACGTTCGGTACTTGGATCGGTTGGATCGCGAAGACGTTCGACTACATCAACCGCGTTACTAAACGCTTCCGCTTTCGGTCTACGAGGGTACATAGACACACTCTCCCCTCTTGTTGCTATGCATCTCCTAGATAGATCTTGCGTGATCGTAGGTAAATTTTTTGAAATACTGTGTTCCCCAACAATCTCTGGGCCCTCTCGGTAATGCACATCACTATAAGCCTTGCAAGCAATGTGACTAATGAGATAGTTGCGGGATGATGCATTACGGAACGAGTAAAGAGACTTTCCGGTAACGAGATTAAACTAGGTATGATGATACCGACGGTCGAATCTCGGGCAAGTAATATACCGATGACAAAGGGAATAACATATGTTGTCATGCGGTTTGACCGATAAAGATCTTCGTAGAATATGTAGGAGCCAATATGAGCATCCAGGTTTCGCTATTGGTTATTGACCGGAGATGTGTCTCGGTCATGTCTACATAGTTCTCGAACCCGTAGGGTCCACATGCTTAACGTTCGATGACGATTTGTATTATGAGTTATGTGATTTGATGACCGAAGTTTGTTCGAAGTCCTGAATGAGATCACGGACACGGCGAGGAGTCTTGAAATGGTCGAGAGGTAAAGATTGATATATTGGACGAAGGTATTCGGACACCAGAAAGGTTTCGGGACATTTCAGATATTTATGGGGGAACCGAGGGGTTACCGGAACCCTCCGGGGAAGCTATGGGCCCTAATGGGCCATAAGGGAGTAGGAGAGGGAAGGCCACAAGGTGCCCCCCAAGGGCAGTCTGAATTGTACTAGGGGGAGGGGGCACGGCCCCCTCTTTCCTTTCCCTCTCCCTCTCCTTCCCTCATTTCCCCTCTTGGAATAGGAAAGGGAATCCAACAAGGATTGGGAATCATTGGACTCCCCTCATGGCGCGCCCCCCTTGGCCAGCCACCTCCTCCTCCCCCCTTTATATACGGAGGCGGGGGCACCCCAAAGGCACAACAGACAATCTCTTAGCCGTGTGCAGTGCCCCCTCCACAGTTTAACACCTCGGTCATATTGTCATAGTGCCTTAGGTGAAGTCCTGCGCCGGTAACTTCATCATCACCGTCGTTACGCCGTCGTGCTGATGGAACTCTCCCTTGTCCTCAACTGGATCAAGAGCTCGAGGGACGTCATCATGCTAAACGTGTGCTGAACACGGAGGTGCCGTACGTTCGGTACTTGGATCGGTTGGATCGTGAAGACGTTCGACTGCATCAACCGCGTTACTAAACGCTTCCGCTTTCGGTCTACGAGGGTACGTGGACACACTCCCCCCTCGCGTTGCTATGCATCTCCTAGATATATCTTGCGTGATCGTAGGAATTTTTTTGAATTACTACGTTCCCAACAAGTGTTTCATCACTATGACGTGGTCTTTGTTTTTATATTTCTCTCTTTTTTATTTTTGTTCTTGGTTGTATGCATCCTTGATGTCTTTCGATATTTTGTTGGTGCAGAGGCTGGATGTAATTGGTATCTTCGCGATATTAATATATTTCCTTTATCAAAAAATATAGCCAAGGGAGACATACATGCAATGATATGTTGGTGGCAGTTGGATGAGTAAATGTTGTGCCCTACATACCACCATCTAACGGCAGCATGTGAAATCAATGCATTGCAGATGTGGCCTACAAACTGTTGCAATATGAAGAGAAAGCGATAATACGGATCACAATACACTGAAGCACCCAGATCCCAAGACATGTTAATGCTCCACATAATAAGAGCATATGGAAGTACGACCCATATTGAATTTTCGGATATGTATCTATATCTATCTAATGTCATTTTAATGTTGAAGAGCATGGCATTTTTATCATTGACAGCATGCCTTTTTCTTTTAATAAGAGCATGGCATTTTTAATCTATAGCATGGTGAATTTATTTTTAATGGGACGTCATGTTTTTTTGTATCATGCAATGTTCTTTATGTGATTTCTTGTTTTCCACAAAGAAAACTTGGGCACGGCAATTTTAATATTTATATCATGTTTTTTTTTAGTGTCATGGCATTTCTATTATCTTGATCATAGCAATTTCCTTTTTGTTTTCTAAACATTTTCAATTTTGAATCATCCTCGATCATGGCTATTTCCTTATATATATATTTTCCAATTTACCATGTTTATATGATGGCGCTTTTAGTAAAAATACTGTTTTTGTTCACATTGCAAATAGCAGTTTTTGTTACATACATTTGTTGTGCTTTTTTACTTGTGTGCTATATATGAAATCCTTACCATGTCAAATTCTAAATTTCTTAGCACGTCAAATTCTATTTCTTATTCGCAAAAAAGAAAATATATTTTCTTGATTTTTCAGTATTTTTTATTTTTCAGGTATGGGCAATAGCTTTTCTAGAGAAAATGTACAGTGCGTGATCAATTTTGATCATGACGGCATTTCGTTTTATACGTCATGACATTTTTGTTGTTGTTTTAACTTCTTAAATTGAGGTTCAAATCCTAATAAATGTTTCCTACTGCTAGGGAAACAAGTGGGAAACTCAGATTGAACAGCAAAGTCACCTCCAGCCGGAACAAGTGTACTTGCGCGGCGTGCAGGCAGTGCTGGTCAGAATCGGATTTGACCATAGCTTGACTTTGTTTCCCCAGGAACGCAAGCGCCAAGCAAACGAAACAAAACGCGTTGGGGCCACCTCACAGCCAGCGTAACTCCTCCGGAAATCTGTCGGGATGACGGAAACCGAGTCGCCGTCGATTCAGTGTGTGTATATGTAGTACGATGCCGCTCGTCCATCTCGTCGCCGCCACCCCCGCTCCTCCTAGATCAGACGCGCTCTCCCCTGTCTCCGTCATCTCTCTTCAGCGCGCCGATCGATCCCATGGCGTTCACCTGCAAGCGACCCGCCGCGTCCCTCGACGGCCACGCCAGCCACCCGGGCGCCATGTGCCGGAAGAGGAGGCGCGTCGTCGTCGGGACCACCTATGACTACGACCAGGAGTCGCGCCTCGGCGCAGGCAAGTTCGGCGCCGTCGTCAAGGCGCGGTGCCGCGCCACCGGCCAGCTCGTCGCCATCAAGTCCCTCCACGACCCCGCCGACCCCCACGAGGTGCTGCGGGAGGCCCGCTTCCTCGAGGCGTGCGGCGGCCACCCGCACATCGTCGGCTTCCGCGGCGTCACGCTCGACTACGTGACCGACGAGCTCTGCCTCGTCATGGACTACGTCGAAGGCAAGAGCCTCAAAGTTCTCCTGAACGAGAGGGGCGGTGGGCTCCCGGAGGCCACGGTGTGCACCTTCATGTGGCAGCTCCTCACGGCCGCCAAGAAGATGCACCGGTGTCATATCGTCCACCGCGACATCAATCCTGCCAACATCCTCGTCGGAGGGGACGAAGCCGGAGGATTCGTCAAGATCTGCGATTTCGGCGTCGCCATGCCCATGTCGGGGGCGCCGCCGTACGAGGAGGAGGTTGGCATGGGCGAGTACCGGGCGCCCGAGATGCTCCTAGGGAAAGAGGACTACGACGCGCTCGTCGACACATGGTCTCTTGGGTGCGTCATGGCGGAGATGCTCTCGGGCAAGAGGATTTTCCGGGCTGCCGAATTCATATCTCTGTTCCAAAGGATCTTCGAAGTGGTGGGCGTGCCGGACGACACGACGTGGCCGGGGTTCACGTCGCTGCCGCACGCGGCCCCGCCGCCGCTGGTGCCGGGGCAGCAGAGCACGCTGCGAGATCTGTTCCCGGAGGAGACGCTGTCCGCGGAGGGATTCAAGGTCCTCAACGGTCTTCTTACATGCAACCCCGACAAGCGGCTGACGGCGGCCACCGCGCTGAAGCTCCCGTGGTTTGCCACCGCTGCTGCAAACGCCCACCCTTCTGCTCCTACTGCTGCTGCCAAGATCGACAGGATGGCAGTGTCCATAAAGGAGGAGGTGGTGGAGTTCGCTCCGTTGATGCCTCCGAGAAAGAGAGTCACGGCCAAGAAGACGTTGATCAGGAAGAAGGCGCCGCTGATTGCTCCACTGGCCACATGAAGGCGCTGCTGATCGCTCCACAGGAAGATCTTCGTTTTTCTGCCTCGATGCTTGGAACTTTTTGGATGCAAAATATGTAAATGCTTGGATGACAATTTAGTGCACCTAGAGCAGAATAAATTGTCTCTGTTCAAGCTTGTAGCACCTGTAGTTCTGTGCATTTGCAGACTTGCTGCGTTGCAGTGTTTGTTTTGTCATGTACTCCCTCTGTTCCTAAATACTTGTCTTTCTAGGCATTTCAACAAGTGACTACATACGGAGCAAAATGAGTGAATCTACACTCTAAAATATGTCTACATACATCCGTATGTAGTAGTTATTTGAAATGTCTAGAAAGACAAATATTTAGGAACGGAGGGAGTAATATGTAGTGTTCAATGCAAAGTGTTGAATGAAATTGGTGACAACCTGCTCAATGTGAAGAAATTGGATGTTCTTGAAATGAGGATTGTGTAGGCAAAAAATGTTACTGACCAATGAGAAACTTCTGTCAGATTAAACTGGTTCTCTCATATCGGATTTATGTTTTACAACATTCGGTCAGTTTCTTGCGAAAACTTACCAATCTGGTTGTGTAGGTAAACATAAGCCTGAGTGTTGACAGGGAATATGTTTTTGATCTGCATGTCTAATCGACCAACTGACCCACACACTACTAAGCCAACAAGATCAATTCGGATTCAAACAATTTTGTTGGAACTTTCATGAGCACCTAATAACTGTCCTAAAAAACATTATATTGTTTGCTCAACTCTTTCCTTCCGGCCTCAGGCATTTGCAATTCTCGCGTTTTGTTATTCAAGCAGTTCTACATTCAAATATTCAAGCTATATAAGTCTTACCAATTCACTGGTCTGTAACTTGCGTCAGACAAGAGGGGGTACAAACTGGGCATCATATAGATGCATATATTTCACACAAAAAGATACATCCGCAAGATGATACTACAAGACAAGCACACAAGGCTTATGTTCTGTCTGGAACACATGAGTTTCATTTGTGGAGGATCAGTTTTGTCCATGCCCTTTCCTGCAACATATTTATTTTCGTCTTTGATCTACCAGCCCTTTGAAGTGTTCCATCTGACAGCATGTATGCCGGTTTAATTGCGTTTACTACAGACATCAGGAGTGCATTCGGGACAGTGTCATCGTGTAGGCTCCTAGAAGAAGTGTACCTGAAATAAGAGCAAGTACCAAAAAATGCATGAGAGATTGGAAACTTTATACATGAAAGGGTAGATGACTTCAAACTATGAAGGTGCCAAGTTAGTTTTACAGAATGAGGTGAAAGTTCAGAATACCATAGTAATGACATACAAGCAAAGGGAATTTGGAGGCTTATTAGTAGCTAATAACTTTCTCGGAGAATGATGTAATAAATCATACCCTGATCCATACACTGACCTAACATCTATCAATAAAGGTCTGAACACCGAGAAGAGCATACCCTTGATCATAAAGGCTACACTATTTAACCTTGTAGGTTAAGAGGAAAGACCACACATCCCCCATCACAGAATAAAATGTTCTTCGTAATAGGAATTAGCACTCTGTCAAACGTAAATTCTGAGAGATTTACATGATCAGGAGGAGACGAACCTGTAGGGCCAGTCTAGGATAGGATTCACCCCCATGAAAGGAGGTTAGCCAGTTGAACTAGGAGAGAACTGTTCTGGACCAGCCTGTGAAGACCAATTTAGTATGATGATATGCATGGGTACTGAATATTCCAGAATCAAATTTCGGGTGTCCGAGAAACTTTTGAAAACAGCATTGTTCACACCTGATTTTATCTTTTTTGCCACGAGCTCCTCAAATTTCCACTCCAAGAAATTGCACGAACATCACGCATTTGAGCATCTTGCACCACAATTTTTTTAATTTTCTGCTATTTTTTCATTTGACTGAATATTCCATAATCAAATTAGATCCCTGGAAAGAAATGTACGTATCGCATTTGGATCTCCATTTCTAGTGCCAAGGAAAATTGCTTTCGTAGGCTTTTGTTTCAACAGAGCTTCCCGGCCAGACTTGAAATTTTGTCTTGATAGTCTCCACCTCAAACCGAAGCATTTTTTTTGCGAATAACCGACAAACCAAAGCTGTGGGGCATGGAAGGCAGGTCATGAATCTGAGATTTCTACTCAAATAACAAGAATAAACCAGGGAAGTAAAATCTTTGAGAATTTATAGCGAATGTCATCGTACACTCTACAAAGTGATACAACAATAATTTTAAATAGGTTTAGTCGCCTCGTGGGATCACTACCTACGTCCTATGGTAGGGTCCTCGAGAGTGGTGCTTGGCACATGAGAGACCTAAAGTGTGGCTTGCTTGGACCCACTCGAGCTTGATTGGACTATTGTTGACCTCTATGACTTGTGTTCACTAGCCTTGACCATTTTTCACCCCTATATGGTGTGCCATGTAGTATAGGGGTTGGGACCTCGAGTTGGGTTGAAGCCATTACTACAACAACGTCGATGTATTGAAACCTTCTCAATATCAGTTTGACAATATATTAACACTTCCTAAATTGCCACTAGTCATTGTAATATCATGCCATCGCCACGTGCGGCAAATTTGGTGTTATTTTCTTATGAAATATTGTCT